CTTACCGGGGGGGGGGGGGATCTCCTCAACCACCATCAGTGTGCAGCATCCACACAAGACTACTAACTCCCTGAAAATTGCATAGAAACCATCCAGAACACCCTAGTAACAATCAAGAACATTCTACCAACCTTATTGAAATGGCCAAGCAAAAAGTCAGAATAAACTACCATCTTAAATATTCTAGCAACCTCCTAGCTAGCTATACATTAGCAACCAAACAGATCACCTACCAACTGCCTAGCAACACCACATCAACCATTTATAACATCCTAGTAACCTCCTAGCAAATACTACTACTAACACCAGAACTACTAACACCCTAACAACACTCAAAAACAATCTACCACCCTCAGATAAATACCATTGCAAAAACCTAGAAGACACAAACGTCTTAAAAAGCTAGCAACATCCAGAACACCTTAGCAAACACCTAGTAACACCATAGCAACCATCCAGAACATGCTAATAACTGCCTAGTAACACCCTAGCAATAAAAGTCAGAATAAAATACAAGTCAAGAACAATCAACCAAACTCAAAGAAACACCCCAAAAACCCAGAAAAAAACTGACATCTTAAATACCATCTCCTAGCAACTCCTGTCAACCTCCTAGCAACATCAGGAACACATTAGCAACTACTCAGAACAAACTAAGCAGTGGTGGACAGTAACAAAGTAGTTTTACTCCATTACTGTACTTAAGTACATTTTTTCAAGTATCTGTACTTAACTGGAGTAGATTTATTTTGAGTAACTTTTACTTTTACTTTACTACATTCCAAAGCATAAGATCGTACTTTTTACTTCACTACATTTCATAAAACTTATCGTTACTCCTTATAATATATCACTTGCTCCGAGACGCAGAAGCGGTGTCTGATTCATGAACAAACTGATTCTTTTCAATGACCCGTTAAATCGGTTCGCAAATCGCACCAAACGATTCATTCACGAAGTAGAATGAACCGATTGCAGCTGTTCTCGAGTCTACAACTCACTGATTCAAATTAATCCGTTTAGTGCGAGTCTCCAGTGAACTGAATTCACAAGTAAGAACCGGGAGATCTTGTGAGCGCGCGCGCGTCTGATGCTGTTAAAAGTAAGTAACTAATGTCGAATTTTAGGATTATTTATTGTAACTAAAAATCATATTTAGGGCAAAGCTGTCAGTTGTTTGTGAACTAAATCTGCTGTAAAGGGTGATCTGTTTAAGCCCACTGAAATGCTTGAATGCAGACACATTAACATCAGAGTCTCTATGTTTTAGGTAAAAAAACATTAAAATAACATAGATGAAATAAAATAACTCATGCACGTTCATCTTCCCCGCTGCTGTAACGTTAGCAGTTTTACTAAAATGATATGCATTTAGCCCTATGTGACATTTGTTTTTATATTGTTTGTCAGCACACATAGCCTCAGTTACTATGTATCTGGATCAACTAGCCGAGCAGACAAATATAAATGTTTATTCATAACCATGCTGAAAATAAGTCAATGTTAGCTGATGCTAACTGTCTAGCTAACGAGCTTGCTGGTGCTAAATTTAGGTAATTTTTAGATATAAGGTCCAAATGTTTTTATTCAACCACCTAGATAGATTATATCTGAGGGAAAAAGAAAGGATGTGATGTTCAGAACATGGTAACTACAGTAATTATCAAAGTGGGAAGTGATGCCCTCTGGGGGCATTTGGCCAGGGGTGTTTTTATACCACAGACAGGTTTGAGAAGAAAAAAATCATTATGAAAATCTAATTATATTTTCCTTATTATATTCACTATTTCCTTATTGGTTATTTTGGGAAAATCCCAGGTATTTAGAGCAGAAGGATTATAAAAAAATATATATATATGCTGATATAAAATTAAATGATAAAAGCCTATATAAAACTGCAAAATAAGCATCCATCTATCGGTACTTTTTAGTTAAGTACATAAAAAATCAAGTACTTTTGTTTTTGTTTTGTTTTACTTTTACTGGAGTAATATTTTATTATACGGATCTGTACTTTTACTCAAGTACTTGATTTGTGTACTTTGTCCACCACTGAAACTAAGAACATCCTAGCATGGTCCTAATAACCAAGATCACCTAGCAACTTTCAGATCACCATAGCAGCTGCCTAGCAACACTGTAGCAACAACTCAATGCATCCTACCAACCTCCTAGAAAGAACACATAACTACTAACTGCCTTAAAATGACCTAAAAACCATCCAGAACATCCTAGCAACTGCAGAGAAACACCCTAACATCATGTCAATGCCTTTTGCAAGGCCAAACACCATTCATATTTTCTACAAAAATCTAGTTAAGTATACAGTTACAAGTGCTGAGCCATATACATATGCTTGCAATGTCCTGTTGAGTGGCTGTAGCTATATTGTTGAAGATCACTTACTAAATTACACCTAACATCCTAAGACAAAATGTCAATGATTTGGAGTTGGGTCCTTTGTAGCTCCCTAGTGGCTTCTGTCACCTCAAGTTGGTTCGTTGAGTTTCACCATCACACAGTGTCAATCATTTTAGTGCAGAACAATTATTTTCAGCCATGACTGACTGAATGCATGCACAGCAAGCTGGGAGAGGAGGGCAGAGAAAAGATACCGAAAAGAGAGAAAGTGCGGGGCAGAAATAATGGGACAGGGCAAGCAGATAGAGAACAGCCCATGTATTTGTCATAAAACCAACTGTCAGTCTTTGTCTTGTCACAGTGGAGGAATGACACGTTCTCCCTGTAGGTGTCTCAATCCCTTAATCATATATGGAGCCAGATAGTGTCATGGCTTCCCTATCGTGCGCTGGGCCGCATAAGAAAACATGCAGCAGCCCAAAGAAAGATTGACATTCCTCTGAAGAATACTATCAGTCTTCGTCCCAAAGTGAATCTTGCGCTTTGAACTGTCAGCCACATCAGGAAGAGCTTATGCTAAGGATTGCACAGTGGGTGATATGGCTACCCTGAGTTTGTTTATCAAAATATGGGATCCTGGGTGTTTAGCTGGATGTCATATATGAGTTGATAAGACCATGCTTACTTTTCACCCATACAAATTTGATCTGAATAACAGACGTTTATGTCTGCCATAAAGCATGTGGTGCCGTATAAAGCGATTGTAGATTCAATATTCAGTTGTCACTGGAGTAATACGGCAACAGAGAACTCTTACAGACAAAGTCTGCTTTGAGTCTAGCCTGAAATTAGGGCCTTGCTGCACATGGTAACTTTTAGGCAAATTCGTGGCTCAAGGTTTTGCCTTGAGCAACCGCCTAGGAACACCATAGCAACCAGCTAGCAACAACATCCTACCAACCTCCTAAAAACCACACAGAACTATGAACTCCCCCAAAATGACATAGCAACCATCCAGAACATCCTAATAACTGCCTAGTAACACCCTAGCAACCACTCAGCAACCACATGAGGGCTGTCAAATAACACCATAGCAACCACACTGAACAGACTAACCTCCTAGCAATGCCCTACTAACTACACAGAACATTCAACAATTGTCTCAACATCAACTAGCAACATTTAGAGCACCCTAGCAGCTGCCTAGCAACACCATAACAACCACTCAGAGCATCGTACCAACCTCCTAGCAATGCCCTAGCAACCACACAGTACTACCAAATGCCTTAATTGCATAGAAACCATCCACAACATCCTAGCAACTGCCTAGTAACATATTAGCATCTTACCTAATAACAACCTAACATCCACCTAGAACAATCTAGCAACAATTAAGAACATTCTACCAAACTCATAGAAATAGCTTAACAAAAATCCCAGAACAAACTACCGTCTTAAATATCCAAACAATATTCACAACACCCTAGCAACCACATAGTGGTAACTCTTAGAAATATTTAGGGAAATTTGCCTTTGACAAATTATTATGTATCACTTTATTTACAATAATGTTTATAATGTTTGTTTTGTTGAGAAAGTCTGAGAGTCTTAGATTGAC